TCCAAACTAATTTTTGCAAACTTTGGGTTATGTTTAGAGCACAGACTTCAATTTGGGCCAAATTTCTTAAAGGAAAATACTGTAGAGAATAACATCCTTCTCTTGTGACCAACAGATTGGGGGACTCTATAACTTGGAAGAATATGTTGAAGATGAGAACAATGGCTAAACAGCTTTTCATTTGGGAGATTGGGGAAGGCAGACTAAATGTGTGGCTTGATAACTAGACTGGAGAAGGCTTAATCTCTCCTCCAACTGATTCTCATTTCAACTCAACAACACAGGTGTCTGACCTTTGGTCTGCTAATGGTTAGAACCAGCAAGCTCTTCAGAATATCCTTGATAATAGATTAATCAACACTATAATGAAAAAACCATTTGATAGATCCAGGAAGGACAAACTTATTGTGAAGAAGAAGGTTTCCCAGAAATTTTCATCTTTCATTGCTAATTTCTACTTTCCTCAAGAGGAGATATCTTGGACTAAATGTGTGTGGAACAAGTATCTTTCTCCTTCCATGGCCTTCTTCTCTTAGAAGCTCTTCTATGGCTTCATCCCCACTGATGATATTTTAAGGTTAAAAGGTTTAAGAGGCCCTTCAAGATGTTGTCTGTGTAAATGTGAGGAGGAATCCCTCCCCCACTTATTCTTTAAATGCTATCAAGTTCAACATGTTTGGAACATTTTGCTACCCAAATTAAAACTAAATACCATCCAGCTGTCTTGGGAGGTGTTTTATTCAAGTTGGAAAGATTGGCAGGACCAACAGCTCCCTCTCATCCCTTATATCATGGCATGGTTTGTTTGGATGGCAAGAAATAAGCTGAAATTTGATGAGGTCCATTGGGATGCAAATGCCATTGCCACACACTGTTACAGCTATTTACAGAAACTGCACTACCATAGGAAACTCCCTGACATCCTATCCACATCTTCCCTCCTTGGTACAAGAAAACTTCAAACTATCCTAGTTCACTGGAATTGTCCTCCTATGGGTTGGGTCAAATTCAATACTGATGGTAGCATCATGTCTCTTAATGCTGGCTTTCGAGGGGTTTTCAGAAATACTAGAGGTGAATGCCTACTATATTTTCAGTCTCCTGCCATAGCGGAAGATCCTCTGGAAGTTGAAGCCCAAGCTATTTTTTGGGATGTTTTCTTGGTCATAAAATACAGGTGGAATCTCTTAATGGTGGAAACTGACTCTATGATCTTTTCAATACTGATGGTAGCATCATGTCTCTTAATGCTGGCTTTCGAGGGGTTTTCAGAAATACTAGAGGTGAATGCCTACTATATTTTCAGTCTCCTGCCATAG